AGACTTGTCATGCCATGCCATCTTTGTCACATTAATTGTGCTAGTGCATTTTTTTCATAATAATAGACCTAGGCCTACTAATAATAAAATAGTATACTATAGGCCTGGTCCTATGAAAAACTGTCTAGGCCTAGGCCTAAAAAATGCACTGTCTAGGGGCCTAATTAAAGGTGATGTGCTATAACACTACAGTATATCATCAGAGCCAACACCAATTCCTGTAACTAACAATAAGATTATTATTGATATACTGTAGGCCTAGAAGCTAGGCTATACAACAATAACACCCCATTAAATAATAACATGATGCATATGTTACTCCAAACCTAACTTTCAGCTGTTGTTGAAATGTGGAATTCAAATAAAATATTATACATATATATTTTTGTAGGACAAGATATGCGATAGGCCGAAACATGACACTCTCCTCACATAGGTATTTGCCAGTCGCCATGATGAGGTAAACATACCACAACATTTGCCATGAGTACAACCACCCAACATTGGCATCTACGAAAGAAGGTGGTACAAAGCATACAAGCACCCAGCAGGACGTTAGCAAGAAACACTCTGGTTGTTTGCTGAAACTTGTAATGAAAGCTACACACAATTTAAGGTGGGCAAAAGAAAATTAAGTGAATATCTCATCACTGTTCAGCCAGAGTACATGAAACAAATATATTGGAATGGTAAAAAAATATCAGCATGGTGTGTCTTTATTAAGAAACAACAATAATACATTATACACTAGCCGACAGGAAGGCTTCAATCAAATAATTAAAAAATCTGAAAATACGTCTGTCAATTGATGAATGTCTTTTTCAGATTAGTACATACAGTATCTCAGTATGGTATGTTATTGATAAAGCAGCAAATGCCAATGTTTGATAACATTTTTGATTTTTAACAAACCTGGTTTTGCATTGTTTAAACTACGGTATTTATTCCTCAATAGGAGCAAATGACTGGCTCAGATGGATGTGATGCAAACAATTCCATCTGTGTGGACATGATGAAATGGACATGTCCAATCCATGGTTAGCAGAAGGTGGCGATGCTCAGAGCTCTGCAGCAAGTGATTGAATCCAAAATATTTCCAAAGAATTAAATTAAAATGATTTATCTAGTGATTTTTTTTTCTGAAGATATACTAAAATGCCACACACTTAAGTTTTTGTTTTTTTACGCATCTGGTTTATATTACATGCAAAATTTATAATAAATAAATAAATACTGTACCAGTATTACTGTACCTGTTTCACTTGCAAAATATCTTTAATATTATTAAATGGTATTACAGTATAATCCCATTCAATAGTAATCCTTTTGAAGCAAATATGTGACCCAGATTTAGAAAACAAATTGTGAGAATTAATTTTGAAATATGTAATGTGCGAAGTTGATAGTACAGTATGAAAATGTGGCTCAATATATATAGGAACAACTATTTTAATATATGGCTTTGTACAGTCTTGTGTAAAGTTATTCTATGAAACTGCTTATTTTTTTAATGCCTGGATTATGCCTATGTCTGCATGCTGATCAATTTGGTATTGGAATTTAAGACAAAGCTTCAATTTTTTTGCTATACACCATTTTTTGTTTAGTATTTTAAAATATATAGTTGAACTTGCCTATGTCATATTGAGAAATTGTTCGACCCTAACAAAATTTGACTTGCACTTGCGGTAATGGAAAACACAACAATTCGGCATGAAAATTAGATTGACTTAGAAATTATTAAGAGTATATTATTAGTCGTCTTAGGCAATTTTTAATTGCACTGCTCTATTTATCATGTCTGATTGTCTTGTATTATTTACCATAGCCAAGATTTCTTCTTTCATGATGATATTCAACATCCATATTTTTGGTGCTTCACTTAGTTATTGTTGTACATACAGTAAATTCAAGACCACTGGTGTTATTAAATAAATATTTTGAAACAATTTATCATCCTTGTACATTGCAAATAATTTATTACAAGTGTATTTTCTCACAGTTAATATAAAATTGTTTTACTGTACACAGATTAAAACAGTCAGGTATTACAATATATATCACTGCATTTTACACACTCTATTTATTATCAAAATAAAAATTATCAATGTAAATAATAGGGAAGAACAAGTTACATTTATTTACTGTACACAAAATTCTAATTCATACTGTATTAGCTTAAAATTTTAAAATATGAGTGGGGAAGATACAAAAAACATTGTACTGTACTTAACAACAAAATGTTCTTGAAATCAACTTTGCTGGCCTATCCACATCAATAGCAATAATTTCAATTACAGACTAGGTCTGGAAGGTTACACACAATTGACTGGTCCAGATATACAAAAGCTCTAGGCCTGTGCTGACAAAATTTCCTTTCATGAGTGATGAGATTGTCAAAAAAAAAAGAACACAGTTGTCACATGAATTGTCAAGATTGAATCTATTTACATAAGATCTGTTGTATTAATGAGGATGGACTTATCAGGTATCTTCCATAATAATTTATAAATAATTCTTCCAACACAAAGTTTATTTCATCATCTATAGCATCAAAAAACCCAGGGCAGTCTTCACAGCTTCTGGGAACTTGTCCCTAATCGCCCACACAGTGCAAGATGGGATGACCC